TTATAAAATTTTATGAATAAAAAGTTCGTAAGAAGAGAATAATATATTTTTCAGATTCTCCTGCAACCGATTTTATGACTTAAACATATCAAGAAAATTGAGTAGTAGGTTTATGTTCTTTGTTTACAAAGCTTACAAGTTTATTTAGAAAGAAATTATTCTAATTGGGCAAGAAACCATCTTGATTATAGTAATCTTAAAACCATAACATTGTTATTTTTTATGTGGGTATTAACTTTTTAAATTTTAAAATTCAATATGATTACAATTATATAAAGTTAATTTGTAAGTGTTTCTTCTCTTCTCTCTAAAAAATTATATATGTATATATAAGAAAGAAAGAAAGAAAATAATTAGTAAAGTATGTAATGTGATTCAAGAGATAAAGAAAAAGTAAATACATAAAAAAAATTAGAGACTTTTAAAACTTTGTAATGAATTTTTTTAAAATAATTTTTTAATTTAAAAATATTTCATTTGTTTTTTTTTTATTTGTAAACATTTTCCAACATATTGCAATGGTGTTTTCATAATTAAAAAAAAAACTAAAATACATTTTTAAAAAAAAATTGGAAACTATAACGAAATTTATCCTAAATTGCATAATATTATCCTACGCAAAACATTAGTCGAAATGAAGTATTAAAATCACACAATACCATTTCCTTAGTTTTTATGCATTGGTACCTTCTCTTATCTTTCTATTGTAGTTGTTCTATGGCATGTTTGGATGCAAATTAAGATTCACTTAGGTTTTTCAGTAGTTGTTGTTCTTTTGTGAAAAGAAATGAAAGATTTTGTGTGTATTACTTAGGACCATGAATCATTTCTGTCGTGTTCTGCAGATAGAATTGCTGATAATCAACTTGAAAATGATGAGATAATTTGACACTATTTGAACCCAACAGCTCAAGGTATTGAGTTTATGTTATTATAGTTCTGATACAACAATTTCTTGCACCAAATGCAAATTCCAAATTATTCTCCGTACACCATTTATTACAGACAAATCAACAACATTGAATCAGGTCAAAAGGAGGTTTTTCCAATTGCCAATAACCCCTTTTCTAACAAAAGCATAACAAGGGTTTGAACTACCATGAATTTCCACATGCTTCCAAGAGAAATATAAATAAGGTTTACTGAATTTTCACTCAAACAACCAACCCCACCTCTCAGAGAGAGAGAGAATTAGTCATTTTCTATATACAAGTCCTTTTTTTTCTGTCACAGTCCAAACTCCAAACTCTATACACTAATTAAAAAGCTTCATGTGGAGGCAAAGCCAAAACATAAACTATACACCAAACAAACAAACAAACAAACACATTGTTCAAATTCAATTTTCTTTTCTTCCTCAAACTTCCCTCCTTCAAAACCAAGCCAGTACCCAAAACTTGAACCAAACAACACCTCTTTATTAGTCCCATGTCTCTTTCTCCTTAACAACCACCTCAGTTCTCACCTCATAAAGATAAAATATTTTACCTTCAAACACCATTGATATCCCTGGCCCAAATGCTAAGCAAGGTTAGGTGGAGGATAGCAACCTTAAGCACTACCAAAGCCTTTCCTTTTACACCATAACCTCACAAGCCTTCTTCCAGTTTTCCTCTGCTGTTGAATTGTCAAATGAAATAAGGAATATAGTAGCTCAATAGGAGGAACTCAAGGCCCCCTTTGGTGTTGCCTTGCCTCATTCTGTTGTTGTTGGTATTTTCTTCTTCTGTATTAGGACAATATGCAGCTGCACATATCTCCAAGTTTGAGGCATGTCACTGTGTTTCCAAGCAAAGGGTTCAAGGAGTTTATCAAAGTGAAGGTTGCATCAAGGCGTGTCTCTTATCGGATGCTCTTCTACTTTCTCTTGTTCTTCACTTTTCTTCTTCGGTTTGTGTTTGTCTTAACAGCAGTGGATGGCATTGATGGAGAAAACAAATGCTCTACCATAGGTACACTATCAGCTCCTCCTTCTCTGTCACATGCACTCATATAAGATCACAAAGATAAACAAACACATGCAGGCATGGACAGAAAGACACAACCAGATGCACTTACAAGGGTGGATAGGGCATGAGTTTCACACACATCAAAGCATGTTATTGTTTTTCAAAGCTTTGAAATATAATAATTTTAAATCTTTATTGGTGTCCACATCAGAAATATTTATCTGTCTATGTATTATCTTACCCAGCCTACTACAGATCCATGTGGAAACTGTATCTCTGATAAGAGATGCATTAGACTATTAAGTAAGTCTAGTACTATTTGAGTTTCTTTATATCACCCCTTTTGTGAGATTTGGTCCTTATCTATCTTGTATTGTATTGGCGGATAGAATTTGTTAACAGTTGTTGTCGGGGTAAATCTGACCCTCCATTTAGATTTCCATTTTAAAGTGTAGATAAGGTAGATTACAGTACCAGTTCACGTGCACACTTAATAGCTTCCTGATATCTTCAAGACACAATGAAAAAGGATGATCTTCAGAATTAGGAAACCATATAGATTCGTGACTTTCTTTTTCTATTAAAAGAGAAGAAAACCTGATTTTTTCAACCATGTACATGAATTTTACGGCTAGAAATTACGAGTTCAGAAAATATGTTTATCATATCATTATATTTGACATTTTGATTTACTTTCAAATCATATTTGTAGGTTGCCTAGGAAAAAAACTAGGACCAAGGATTTTGGGGAGACAGTCTGAATCAACTGTAATCTCCTAAACTCTTCTAGTTATATTCTTCACCTTCTTAATGCATTTTACTTTTTACAGACGTTAATTTCCATTGGTGACTGAGAATAATTACATGGCTTTTGATAGGTCCCAGAAGTGATATACCAGACATTAGATGAACCTCTTGGCAAACATGAACTTCAGGGTAGGTTTGATATTCCACAAACCTTGGAAGAGTTCATGACTGAAATGAATAAAGGTGGACATGATGCCAAGACATTTGCTGTTAATCTTCGAGAAATGGTACCATTCTCCAATTCTCTTAAAAAGGAAGAAAGTTCATCACATGCATTTATTAGAGTTTTCTAAGTTGAACTCTCCATTAACCACAAATCTTAACATTTCTAGGTGACCCTTATGGAAGAAAGGACCAGAATGGCGAAGATCCAAGAATATCTGTATCGACATGTAGCATCAAGCAGTATACCAAAACAACTTCACTGCCTTTCCTTGAGTTTAGCCAATGAACACACCAACAATGCCGCAGCACGCCTTCAATTACCCTCTGCAGAACTAGTCCCTGCCCTGGTTGACAATTCCTACTTCCATTTTGTCCTTGCCTCAGACAATGTACTGGCTGCATCAGTGGTTGCAACATCGCTTGTTCTCAATTTTTTGAGACCTCAGAAGGTTGTTCTGCACATAATTACAGACAGGAAGACTTATTACCCCATGCAGGCTTGGTTCTCATTGCATTCTTTGTCACCTGCTATAATTGAGGTGAAGGCATTGCACCATTTTGATTGGTTTACAAAGGGAAAGGTGCCTGTTCTGGAGGCTATGGAGAAGGATCAAAAGGTGAGGTCACAGTTTAGAGGGGGTTCATCAGCTATAGTTGCAAATACAACCGAGAAGCCAAAAGTTATTGCAGCAAAACTGCAAGCACTTAGTCCCAAGTATAATTCAGTGATGAACCACATCCGGATACATCTCCCAGAGGTAAAAAAAAAAAGAATAGCACACCAAGTAAAGATTTTATACATTAGCTCATCATAATCAGGTAAGTCTTTGGTGACTGTGATGCTTACTTACCACAATGTTTTTTTCTCAACAGTTGTTTCCAAGTCTTAACAAGGTTGTCTTCCTCGATGATGACATCGTGGTACAAACTGACCTTTCACCTCTTTGGGACATTGAAATGAATGGAAAAGTGAATGGAGCTGTAGAAACATGTACTGGAGAAGACAAGTTTGTGATGTCAAAGAAGTTGAAAAGCTATTTTAACTTCTCCCACCCTCTAATATCCAAAAATTTTAATCCCAATGAATGTGCCTGGGCCTATGGCATGAACATTTTCGATTTGGAGGCTTGGCGGAAGACTAATATAAGCAATATTTACCATTACTGGGTTGAGCAGGTATATATATATATAATGAAACAGAAAAAACTCAAATTAGGATATGTTAAATGTGTCATTAAAATTGACTTTCCATAAGAGTGATACTGATATTTCTGTTTTTGCTTCATGTAGAATATCAAATCAGACCTGAGTTTGTGGCAGCTAGGAACATTACCTCCTGGATTGATAGCCTTTCATGGCTATGTCCACGTTATTGATCCTTTCTGGCATATGCTGGGATTGGGATATCAGGAAAATACAAGTTTTGTTGATGCTGAGAGTGCTGGTGTCGTCCATTACAATGGCAGGGCAAAGCCATGGCTAGAAATAGCTTTTCCACAACTGAGGAAATTGTGGACAAAGTATGTTGACTTCTCAGATAAGTTCATCAAAAGTTGTCACATTAGGGCATCATAGCTAATATCTTAAGAAAACGTGAACTCGTTGATGAGTATAAGAAATGGAATTTGCATCCGGGGGAAAAGGAAAACGAGAGAGTTCTTTCAAGCATCAGGCCTTCCACGACATGAAAGAGACAAAAAATGATGACCATGATGCTCCTTTCTTGCTTTGAAAATTTATTTTTTAACTCTGTCTTCAATTGAAATTCTCGGATTCTTTTCTCTTCAATCCATATTGTAAGTATGAGTATTTTGTAGATCATATACATGTATTAAAACAACACTGTTATTCTTTTGCTTTTTATGAGAAAACAAACCTTCGAGCTCAAGGTTTTCAAGAGTACGCTTTTGTAAGATGACATTTATAAAGTTCAGGGCAAACGATAGATCAAAGGACCATTTTATCCTATTTCATTTAAATCCACATATAATACAAGCTAACGCAGAGCTTCTTGCATGCAATTCATGTTCAGGCAGTGGTATCTTTCACGCACATTATCAATAACTTCAGGCATAGTCCTCGTAAATAATATGAATTCTCCTTCAAAATCGGTTTGTGCTACAATATGTTTACTTCATACAATGGTCATACTAGTGCACTTCCAATCACTGAAACATGTTTGCTGATGTGTTCTTCAAATTCATGTGAGTAGAGATCTTGAAGACCAACGCTTCTGATCCAGTTACTTTCTCCCTGTCACATTTGATACCAATCCCTTGATGAACTTTGCAGACTTTGTAATGGGCGAATTGATAGCCATCAGATTGTACAATACATTTTCAACTTCACCAATATTTGGTCTGGACTTGAATGAGGAAACCACTTTCAATTCTTCTCCTTCTTCTACAAAAACATTCCATCTCTCTCCACTCAGAACCCCATCTCTGGCACACTTAAAAATCACCCCTTTTCTTTTGCTCAAGATCCCTCTCACTTCCAACCCCATAAAAGAATAAACCACTTCAAAAGAACCAACAAAGCCACTCAGATCACCAAATTTGCTCTCTTCCTCAAATGCCCATTTTGGGTTAAAAAAAACCACTGGCTTTGGATAAAAGGCTTCACTAATTCTTTTTATCAAAGCCAATTGGGAGCTATCGGGCGCCAAAAATATTGCGACTTCTGCAGAATTCAAGATTCTGGGGTCTGTTTTGGCCACCGAAGGAATGTCAATGTGTTCAATAGTTGAATGAGACTGAAAGGCAACAGTGGCAGATTCCTTAAAGCTGGCATCAGGCCATAGGATTAAGATCTTAGTGGGAGAACCTTTTCTTTTGATAAGTAAGTCACCAAAAAAATCAAGGGCAAGTTGGGACAGTGAATCCGGTGAGTCATCAATGACTGGAATTTCAACCCGGAGCTTTGGTTGCCTTAGTTTCTTGAACTTGCCTATCAGTTTGGGATTGTTGAGGGGTTTCTCTAAGGTTGTTGAAAGGGATGTTTTGGCCTGAAGTATGGCCTCCTCCTTTGAGATAGGCGGTTTAGGGGAGGAAAGAGAGGAATGGATGGAAGTGGATGTAGCTTTGAGGGTAACAAAGGATCTTGGGTTGATGCAGGAGTTGTGGCAGTGGTTGTACAGAAATTGAGCAGGAAATGAAATTGATGTGATTTGAGTATTGGAGTGTGGAGGCGGTCATGATGATGGCTTGGAAATTTGGATAGATTGGAAATGAGTTGTGTGGAGATAGGAGGATGCCATTTAAGGTTTTACAGAATGGTAAGATGTTAGACTTCTGATATGAAAGGGTTGTTTCAATCTACAAAACTCTATCCGGATAAGATAATAGCATGCACCGTTTGTTCCCAACCACACAATAGTACAACATGGGGTAGAGGATAACAGATATAACGTACAAACCTCCTGCTATGGGAGGTTAAGTAAATAAAGACAACTTTTACTTCAAATCTTTGTTGAGTTGAAATTCCAAGACACTTTAAAATAAAATCTTGCTTTAACGCATTGCTTTATTCGCAAGCATCTCGATTGACATCCATTGTTAGATGGATAGCTCCCACTATTCGGAACTTATTCCCCTTTCTTTTCTCCTAAAATTGTGGCTTTTGGCAGTTTCAAATTTAAAACTAAAGCAGCATTCATGCTTTTACTGTTTTTGCAGCATAAATAGAGTACGAAAACAAGTTGTGTTTGACCTTTTATTTTTATTGTTATATTATCATTTTGGATCCGCCCTTGGTTTATCAAAACCAGTAACAAAGATTAGAGACCCGGCGAAGACAGCCAGAGAAGCTTATTAAAATTTACATGCAAATACCAGCGATTACTTCATAGTAGTATCAGATGCCAAATACAGTCAAAGTCACCTCTGAATCCAGTTACATGGAATACTTATAAGCTATAGTAAAATGAATACAACTTTTGGGCAAAAAATGGAAACCCAAATAATTGTACAAATGCCAACTTAGGCAACTGGTGGACGGAGTACATGATCTTGTGATGTATCCACTGCGGCAGGAGGCATAAATTGCCACATGGCAACACCCGGATAACTGATGAAAGGCACCAACTTGTTGCCCGGGGCTTGACCTTGTGGAGCAAACGCGGCTGGAATTGCGGGAGGGGGTGGCAAGAAAGCAGGTTGGGCACTCATTGATTTTACTTGTAGCTCCAGCTTCTCTTTCTCCACCTTGAGCCTCTGTTTCTCATCACGAAGTTCATTCTTCTCAGCCTGCATAGTAAATGGGAATTCAACATTTAGTGTCTTGTAAGGTTTGGTTTGCATGTTTTCCATCACGGCTACTACTTACTACTATAACAACAAAGTCCTATACTAGCTAGATGAGTCCGGCTACAAAATTCAACATAGCCTTACCCACTGGGCAATGTACTACTGTTATGGCAAAAAATTTAACGAAATTAAATGACCTAGAATAAGGACCTCCCAAACAAGTCCTCCAATCTTAAAAAGAAATGTATTGAATATAAATTGAGGTCTCACCTTTAACTCTTTAATCTTCTCTTGAAGACTCGTAGTTGACTCTTTCAACTTCTGGGCTTCATCCCGGAGCTGCGTCACCATTCGGACAGCATCCATAAGAATGGCAGCCTTGTCTGTTTTGGGAGGCCTTCCGGGCTCCAAGATGGAGCCCAATTCAACAAACCTATGCATGTCAATCGTTTTTAATACAAGCCCTCAAAACAGTTACAAACAGGAAGATGGCAAGGATTCAAAAGGTTACTTGTCATTAAGTCTATCCCTTCGCAACTTCTCCCGACACGCCTTGGAGCTAGAAGCAGTACATGAATCAGATCTACCCCTACAACAGGAATAAACAAGAGATATAGCATAACTTCATCCAAGAATAAGTATCTGAATAGGATCCAATAATCTTTAAGCTCTTGTCAGTGAGAGTGGCCAGAGAAAACAGGAGAAAACATCGCAATATCATACTTAAGCAACATAAGCCTATAAGCTATACGAAATAGTATAGTCGTGGCAATTTCTTCATTGATGTTGCTGAACTAATACTGACGAACTTATCATCTTCATATCAGAAACATCGTTGAATCGCCATTTCACTTAATTATATTACTTCACAACCGTGAGTTAATCGATGACCAACCTATGAATAACATAGCTTGTCTTTTTAAATCATTAAAGAAATTCATGCAACCGTTTTCATTTCAGTCTTCAATTGTTACTTCAAAGCTAAAAGAAAAAAAAATCGCAAAGTAAATAAGCTGGACTCTACCACACGCCAAACAGCAGAAATTGAGAAATAAAAGAAATAAAGTGCAAACTGGCGATTAAGTTTTCCTCTCTTTGGATTGACAACATAACTGGCTTCTACCAAAAACAATCCAACTAATTCAGGAACCAGCCTTGAAATTAATACCACACACTATTGATCCAATTGCATGGTGTTATTTATGAGTTATATTATTTCTTTCTTTAACTTTAAATAATTCGAAAGAAAATGTGGGGGGAATTGTGTACCTCTTCTTCAAAGCAGGGTCTTTGAGGCCATCAGAATCAACGAGTGAAGCATCAATTTCAACACTAGAAGCAGACAGCATCACCAGAACACGAATTAGCGAAGTGAAAATGAATCAGAAACCCTAATTAGGGGAATGAAATAGTACCTGACATTGGAGGGAGGCGGGGGCCATGAGAAGGCGGAAGCGGAGACGGTGAAGGAGCCGTCTCCGACAGTAATGTCATCGTCGATCAACGGGTAGTCGAAGAGCCAATTGCTGTTTTCCGGGGAAACCATGGCGTGTAGGGATTTTCCCGGAGAATTGTGAATTTGGAGTATTTATTCGTTTCTTGTTCCTTTGAAGTGATTGTAAGGGAGAGTGTGGGTTGAGGAGATATGGTGAAAGAGAGAAGGAATTGAAATGGGTGCTGTGCAGTGTTGAAGAGAGCACGTTGGAGGGTAGAGAGAAAAAGAGAGCCTTCTGCGAAAAGGAGAATTTATGGCTATGCTTCTACAGTGACCCATGATGTGACCATAATGACACATCAATGAACCAATTACACCATCAAAATCCTAACTTCAACCACTTCCCACTCTTATAAAACCCAAATTTCCTAAATATTGTTCTAATCATCAACTACCAAATTATTAAATCTGTAAGGATGTACACTTTAATTGTTTTTTTTTTTTCATGGAAGGCTATATCTTTCATATATATACATTTCTTTTTCTAAATTTTTCTAATAGATATAAGTTAACCTTAAAACATCAAAAATATATTTTTATTACATATATGTTTTTAGTTTTCAAATTATAACGTAAAATTAGAATTCGTTTTTTATTATTTTAAAAGTATTTAATTTTTAAACTTAAAAAATAAAAAAACTAAATGAATATAGTATTCTTCTTGAATGATATTAAAGATTTATAAATCTGTATATATA